TGTGATGTGATGGTGAGGGTGTAACAGGAAGAACTTCCTTGCTTTTGAGTCGATAATAAATGTTGTTTGGCAGGGAATATCCAAGAGTTGCTTCATTCCAGTGTTTGGAGATGGGTCTTGATATGAAGACTTTGGGAATAGGATTGTTCTGGCCCCTTGATTTTGTTTTTCCTGCTTCTTTTTGGAGGGAGTGTGGCACCGGTGAGGATTTCACCTGCACAAGTGAAAAATCCAGGGAAGGAGTTGTGCACAGTCCTCTGCCAAAGCACCTCCCTCCCACTGCTCTCAGCAGGAAAATGGATTAGGTTGCCCTGTCTGCCAGGCCTTTAGCCTGTTTCTGGCGGGTTACCAATGCTGTCTGATGGATGTTTTTCTCTTTCTGTCATGGCTTTACACTATTATCTTATTTTTCATGCATCATCAACTGCCTGCCTGTGACAGAGCAGTTTTGAGCATTCCTTGCTGCCTGCAGAATTTGAGGATGAAAGTTGGGTGGATTGGTAACCCATTCAGCCATCCGGCTGCCTGCACATGCTTTTGTTCCAGGAGCATGTAGCGAATAAAGACATCGCGTTAAGGGGCGAGGGAGGGGAAACAAAGCGTTTTAATATTTGTAGTTGCTTTCTGGGCCTTTCACAGCATCGCTTTGTCTACGTGAACTGCATGAATTTGCATGCTGGAGCGCAGCCGCCCAGGGCCCCCGCGCCTCCACCCCGCTTGGTTGTTCTACCTTCTGTTTCCTCTTGCTTCCCTTTCATTGTTTGTGCTTCTCATGTGCCCCCTCCCAGCTTCCCTCTTACACATATTTGTGCTTTTCCTTTTTTCCCCTCCCCTGTAGCACTTGTGGGCTTTGGATTCTGGCTTCCTCTGAAGCTGCAGAGCTGTTTGGGGATGGCTCACCTACTGCTCTCGCTCCGCAGCCGATCCCGAGGGGTGCCCGGAGCGCTGCAGTTGGTGAGGGTGTGCGTGGGCTCCTGCGCCGGGGATGAGGGGGAGCTGGCTGTATCTCGCCAGCTGACTGGCTTCCACTGGTCTGCTGCTTCCTCCAGCATTTCAGTGTTTCTTCCTGGATTCCCTTTTTAGCTCTGAGACCAGCTGGTCTTCCCAGTCGGATGTGGTGGCTGTATTCCCTCGTGCCCATCTCTTCTTTCTTGGTGAAGGTGGTGTGAAGTGTGGGGTAACCACGGAGCACCCACTGACCTTGCTCACCTTGCCCTTAACCTCCTTTTTATACCAAATGTCCCTGGCATTTGGGCAGCTGGATTTTTATTTGAAAACCAGTGGGATTTTGACGTGGAAAATCTTGAATGTGAGAGACTTGATTAGAGCAGTTGTGGTTTTCATAGACCCCTTATAATTTTGTGGTTTTGTGTGTTTGTTTGCAACTTGTTAATACTTACTTAAATAAAATGCTTGGGAGAAAAGCTCCTTTATGTAAGACTTGACACCCAAGCCATTCACCACTGAAGGCTGAAAAAGCTCCAAATATTGACAGCCAGGTTGTAGCACTTCAGTGCCAATCTGAAAGGCAGTTAGTTATGTTTTATTTTTGCTGAAAAGGAAAGAGTACAAGGAAAAGCACAGGAAGGGTATCAGGCCAGCTGTTCGCACAAGTGTATGAAAGAAACATAAATGACAATTGTTGTTCATGGCCTACACTGCTTAAAAGAGGTGTCAGAGGGTCATAGTTGCCTGTTTCTGTCAGTCAAAAACCATGTAGGTGGTTACTGGGAGCATCTGAAGGCACAGGCAGGTGGGTTGGGTACCTGCAGAGCACTTTCTCTTCTGCCCCTTCAGTTTGGAAGGAAGAACTACCTTGACTACTTGACAACTACATAATGAAGGTTAACTTGTAGTTCTTCTTATCACAACTGAAAATGACAGTAAGTCATCAAAATCAGTGTAAACCCAACTTTATTTTGATGTCAGTGCAGTGTATAAATGATGTGATGGGTTTTCTGCTGTTCCTGTGTCTCATCTAGGAGATGAGCCAGATGTTTCCTTAGAGGAGCAGCTAGTGAATGTTTCAATTTGCTTGCAGATACTAAGGAGATTACAGTAACTTGTTTCACTTTACTGTGACAGTGTTTCAGGTGCTTGAGTTTTACAGAAAGATACCACAGTGTTTACTGTATCATGGTTATTATAGGCACTGGACAAATACAGAGCTGCTGCCTTAGTTTTCACTTATAAGGCTCTGCTCGCGTCTGAAATATTTTATTTTTTTCCCTTCTCCCAAGTAGTAGCAGCTTGTCTTCAGTTTCTGTTCTTCAGTGCAGCTCAGGGGCTAATAAGGTTAATTGTTCTACTGGTTTCGAAAGCCAATGAAGACCTTGATCTTACGTATATTCATCGGAGATACGCGGCACTGCAGTGTGTCATTAACCATCCCATCAGCTGTGCCCAAATTAAATGTACAGAGTCACCTACTTCAAAGCAGGGTTTGTCTGAAGACACACAATTTGAGACAGACTTGGGCTGGGAATTGTGTTCCTCTTTGGGCTGTTAAAAGGCTTCTCCAGACTCCCAGCTGAGCTTCTGGATGGTGCTGATAGGACTTGGGGCTGGTTGGCCATGTAGATTATGCAGTAGCTGTCAGCTCAGGCTCTTGAGACTTGTGTGACACAAGAGGGGCGCTTTCAAGGGCTTTCCAACACAAGATAAGCACCTGCCGCATTTTCAGGATAATGTTTGGAGGAAGGGGATTTTTTTTCTTTTCATAGGTAGCCTGCTGGGAACTGCATTTTAACTTTCAGGAGGTGTTCCTTCCCACTGTAGTCCTGTAGTTTGAGAATGCTAGTTCTTTCTTTCTTTTTCCTTTCTTTCTTTCTTTTTTTTTTTTTTTTTTTTTTTTTTTTTTTTTTTTTTTTGTAAATCCTCAGTGTAAATCTGCATGCACAAGTAGCCTGGAGCACACAGAGGAGTCAAGATAGGAGAAAGCTGGACAGGGAGGTCTGTGTGTGAGAGTGATTTTTAAATTTTTGTTTTTCCTTGCACAATTGAGATGTGCCGTGGCTGCACTGTAGATTGGGAAGTTTGCTTCATTGCTGCTTGGTGAAAAGTGAAGAGGAGAAATGGTAAGGTGGCTAGTGTTAAGGGTGAGCACAGTGTAATGACACAGACCCGGGGTTCTGATGCCTGGCAGATGCTAAGCCATTTAAAGGAGGAACTAAGCCATTTAAAATGAGGATAGCATGCTGTCTGGCTGTGGCAGAGGAGCTGTTTCTGGAGAAGATGCATGGAGTCCTCTGGTTCTGCTTGGTATCATACTGAGGTCCTAGAAGTACAGAAACAGCTCGGAGAAGCTGGAAAACATGATGGATTTGTATCATGCCATCCTGTTGGGGTCTAACAGCAAGACTTAGCAAGGTCTCTAGAGGACATGACTGGGTCTTCATGGAGGTTGGGTGCTGGGACCTCTAGGTAGATCTGTGCTGAAGAGCTTTGTGGTGTACTGCAGATCCTGGACAATTACATGGTGTCTCCAACTTCTGGGCAGGCGTACAGAAAGATTGTCAAGTCCTCAAATTAACTTGTACTTCCCTGTCAGTCTTGTTCCAGATTTGGTTATGTTATGGTGGAGGCTGTGCTGCTTCCCTTGTAGGAGCTGCTTGCAACAAAAGATGGAAGTTCAGATGCCTCTGGTAGCTTTTGGCAAGATCTGTATTAATATTAGCCATAAGGTCATTATTTTAGACACGATAATGTTAATTATTAGTATTAATGTTAACTTTAATCATATTTGCTGCCATAGTGGTTGCCATTTTTCCTAACATCGAGAAGCTCAGGTCTTCAGAAATCCTGCTGCCTGTCCCATTCAGTAGGCAGGTAGGGCTGCCTGATCTCTGTAAGCATCTGAAGCCACTTGAAAAATGTTTAGTGTTTACAGGTGTTTTTTTTTTCCAGTATGTAAGTCAAAACTGGTGGCTTGGGGCCTGTTCTTTGGTATGCTTACGTGGGAAACATGTAGGAGGGGTGGTGGAAAGTACAGTCTTTTAATTTAAAAAGATTTTTCCCCCCTTACCTTTTCATTGCTAAGGTCTGTAGTTCGTGTCTTGTAGAACCATCACCTGCAGAAGGAGAAGCTGGGAAAACTCACCAGCTGTTCCTGGCAGGATGACTGTGACCTCCTCCTGAAAAATGTTAATCTCCCTAAAGTTGTCCCTGGTTTCATCAGCAGGGGTTGAGTGACTGTAACACACTTCATTTTTAGTTATACCTAAAGCTTTCCTGGAGATCTGGGCCAGTTCAGAGTCACTACCTCCTTGTTTTAAATGGATTTCCTGCAGGGAGCTCATTGAACCAACACTTGAGTTCATTTCTGTAGACAGCTCAAAGTGGTTTGTGGTGAACTGCAAGCTGACACAGTGCAGCTGCATGTCTTGAAAATTACCTGAGTGCAGCAACTGAGCTAAGATGATGTGTTCAGAGCTGCTGCTCTCTCTGCTTTCTGTGTGTGCTGCTAATCAATGGTAGGATCTGGGTTTGGGACCTCACCGTGCCAATTGGAACGTGATACTTTGCCTTTGCCTTTGCTTTTGGGATTGACAGGTGATCTGCATTCCAAGGCATTCTGCATCCTATTTCTTCAGATACTAGCTATTGAAATTTACTGGTGGGGCAGCAAATTTGAAAGTGGAGGAAAATAGTCTTCCTCTAGTTGGAGGGCAATGGATTGCTTTGGGTAAAAATTCTGTTTGTGAGTGGATTTTGTATAGATGCATTTGCATAAATAGAAAATGAGTCTGTTCAGTCAGCATTTGGGAAGAAGCAGCAGAGTAGCCAAGTTAAGTCATCATTTATCTTTTGCCAGATGAGCCGAAACCTCAAATGGGATATCCATCAACCACCTTACCTGACTCATAAAGGAGTTGTAGGAATTTTAGATTTCTGAATTTGTTTTGCAAACAAGTCACCTGAGAATCCATCTGTGATTGACTTAAAAGTGGTACGTATGTCCAGTCCTAAGATTCTTACATGGTATCTTCTCTGTTTGTCAGGCTGATTCGGAGGAGGATGTGGAAGAGCATCCGCAAGAGCAAAGGTAAGCTTACCTCAAATGGAAGCAAGAGGTCCTTGAAATGGACTCAAGTTCATTTTGGTTTTTGCTTTAGGAAACACCAAAGCGTAATTGGGCAAACTGCTAAAAAATTACTGTTTTCTCCTGCATGTTAAATTGTTTTGTCTTACTCGTGGCTTACAATTTTCTCAACTCAATGTTAATATTGATTTATTAGCAAAATCAAAAAATGTGTGCTCAGTGTATGCAAGCACAAAATACCTTCTTGCATCACTCTTAATCCTGTCTCTAAGATGAATTTGCTTCTCCCTGCTTTCACACGCACACAAAAAAAAAGTTTTGTTGTATATTTTGTAATTGTAGCCACAACTCTGCTGTTTCTGTTAATATCAGACCTCCTGTATTTTGAAGAGTTGGGTAAATAGCATTACAGATGATTTTTTAAATACACATTTTGTTTCCTCTGAGCGTCCAGGTTAAAATGCTTGGACATCTACCAGGGAAACACTTCCTTCCTTTGGTATGTGTTAACGTGGTCACGGCTTTCAGTGCCATGCCAGCCAGAAAGATCACAAGACTTAAAATAAACATGTGTAACAGCACCGTTTTCTGATGGCTGCAGTTAGCCACAAATGCTTTTCTCATCTATCTCCAGTCTTTGCCTTTAGCTAAGGTTTGAGAGCAAATAGATCTGATAAAACACAAACCTTGTTGGGAGCTTGCAGAAGGTGTAAGCCTGGGGGGTGGGAACGGGATGGTTATGATGGGTCAGTCCTGTGCTGCAAGGCTTCTTCACATGGCTTTTCCCCTTCTGTCCCATTGGGAGCCTTCTCATCTGAACCCAGCATCACATTGAGGCTCCTGTGCCTCATCTCTGTGGGAATTACAAAGATGGTTTGGAAACAGGATGTGAGAATTACTGCGGCTGCTGACAGCTGGTGCTGATTACTTGTGCTTTCCTAAGTGCCCCAATTCCTACCTGCAGAGGGGATTTTTTTTTCTGCCTCCTCTTGTGAAAAGAAGTGTAAACTACTGAAAGCTGCATTTCCCTGCACAAAAAAAAAAAAAGTTTCTGATTTTTCATCTGGGAGCTATTATGTTTTGGATGAAGAATCTTTGCTGTGTAACTTTATTGCCTGCATGCTTTCTTTATTGAGAGGTAGTCAGAAGGAAGCAGTCTCTTATGCTGTTCTTTAAGATTGTTTCTGATTGTTTCCTTAGTAGGCAGAGAGATATAATTTAGGTGAAAAAAAAAATCTCTACTTGCCTATTTTTCTCTGGAGGTGGCTACTATGGCAATAATAAAAATATTATTGAAAATAATTAGTTCTTGAGACTCAGAGAGGAAAAAGTGATTTGACTGGAGGTTTTTTTAGGTCATTCAGGTGCTTAAAATTTTTTCTAGTAATTATTCATTTTCAGAAATGAACTTGCTTTTTGGGAGTAAAGTTTGTAGAGGTTTCACATGCATGGTGGAAACATCCTTCTATTGTTATACTGAAATGCTTCAGGAAACTTGCCTAAACCAATTCTGTCTCGTGTGCATCTTCTAAACTGTTTTGGTTTGCTGCTGTAGGTAAACACATACATAGATCTGTGTGTGCTCTATATATTGAAGGAATGTTATAGTGTAGATTTCATGAGGAAGAGCCAGCAAAGGTACATTGGAAAGACTAGAATTTATTAGTTTATTTCCAGATTAATTTTCATTCCCTTGGCTTACATTACTATATGGTGAAATCATGGGGATTTCCTTTTCCTGTAGCAGCAAAACCTGAAGCTTGCAGCACCTTCATCTCATTATCTGACTGCATGCCCTGGGGAAATCAGCTGAAGCTACTGTAATTGGATGTGAAGCCCCTAGAAGCGAAGCACCTTAATGTAGGGGCATTAGCAGAAGTTAAAGGAATAGAGAAATCAGAAATTTCCCCAGAGATGAGGGAAGTAGAGAGGGTTCATCGTCTTGGGGCATAATGGAGAAAGTCTCTTTCCAAAACATTGTTTTATTCAGTTTTTAATTCTAGGTTAGTGGGTTCCCTGGGAGCTTGCTAACCTACTTTGGAAAAAACCAAACACAACAAAAGCAGTAAAGTATTAACAGTTTTCTAGCAGACTTCCTGTGCATGTGCATCATAAGATCTTCCTTTTGGGGTGGTCTTCTTGGTTTGCTGTTCTTGTGGCAAGTGCACCAGGGAGATGGATGTGGTCTTAGAGTTTCTGCTTAGGGTTAGCTTTAACAAATAGAGAAATTTGCGTGGAGGTAAAAGACAAAATTGTCAAAATAGCAATTTTTGTGAAGAGCTGTTTCAGAGGTGAATGAGAAATGGTTGATTTGCAGGTCCATGGGTTTGCAGCTGCCCCAAGTGAGGAGATCATTATCATCTCCTTGATTTCCACCCTATGATTCCTGCTATTCTGATTGCTTGGATGCTTCCACAGGTTGCTTTGTGCTGTTTTGTGTCTCTCTGGCTCAGATTCTGAAATAAGAAATACAGCACAGTAGACACTCGAATACTGCTTCAGGCCACAGACTTTGAGAGAATTAAAGTCATGTGTATTTGGAGTAGCCTATTAAAAAGCTTCCAGTTTCCTTAAAAACTTTTCCTTACGTTTGAAAGTCAGGAGTGAAAAGACACCTTTCATTACAGTCAATGACAGGTGTTAACAATAAAAGGTTTTGTTGTTGTGTTTGGAGGTTTTTTTGGTTTTTTTTGGTTTTTTTTGGGTTTTTTGGTTGTTTTTTTTTTTTTTTTTTGTACTTTTACCCCTTCATCCTAGTGAATCCTTTGGTTACCACAACTGGCAGTAGTAAATTTTGAAAGTTTAGGTGCTTGCTGAAGCAGCATAAAGAGTCAGCACCCAGGGGAATGGCCTGAAGTTGTGTTGGGAGGTTTAGGTTGGATATTAGAAAAACTGTTTTTCACCTTTTCTTGCTGGGCACTGGAACAGGCTCCCCAGGGAAGTGGTCACAGCTCCAAGCCTGGCAGAGCTCATGAAGCATTTGGACAATGCTGTCAGGCACGTGGTGTGACTCTTGGGGATGGTTCTGTGCAGGGGCAGGAGTTGGACTTGATCCTTGTGGGTTCCTTCCAACTCAGCATGTTCTCTGGTTCTGTGAAATGCAGAAGTCTGGCACAAATAGAGACAGTACTGTCAGGTGATGTGCACAAATCATGCTATCAAAATTTTTAGCTTTCTACTTCAAGGAAAATTTTTTTGGGCTACAAAAGAAAAAAAAAAGGAATTTCACTTGTATGACATTAATAGTACTTAGGTTTTGAGGGCTTCTGCAGAGAGGCCTTTGAGGACACAGATTTGCAGCTGGCACTTTAAGGAACATTTGTACCAGAATAAACTGCTGTACTCAAGATGTGACACATATATTCTTAATACGAGATACACAGTGATTGCCTATGAGAAAGGAAATCCATAAAATACTAGAAGGATGGAATGAAATTAGCCAGGAATTTTCCAGCCTTTTCCTATGGTAGGGCATATTTTGCTTTGAGTAGGTAGGTATCAACGGCTAGGAAAATTCTGAGTGAGATGCAGTTGGCTCAGTCAGGCATTTCTGCTGAACCTTTGATCGCTGGAGAGCGTTTGACCCTGTGGACTGGAGCTCTTGGGGCAGTAGATGGTATTGGCTCCCTGTGGGCTCCTGCTAGGGTGTCAGTGCAGCCTGGGAGTGACAGCTGATGCCCAGCACTTTGACCTATCCTGATTGCTTGGTGGAATTACTCCTAATCCTGTTGTTTTTGCCGTGTCTGTGAAATATTGCTCCAGATGTGGAGGAGGAATTGAAGGTAGAGGCAGCAAGGGAGTAGCTTACTAGCTGCCTGAGAAGAGAGCAAAGCAGCTGAGGCACACAGACTGCAGAATTGCTGGAGGGTTTAGGGAATACTCAAGAGCTGTAGTTACAACATTGGCTTCAGGAAGAATCCAGAGTGGCAGTGGGAGAATGAAGAATGAGCCTGCTCCTCATTGCGAGGCTGTACTTTGCAATTTCTCCCTGGCCATGACTTTGTCTCCAGTCAAGAGGCACAAATGAGGGCTGGCGCTGTAGATGGAGTGTTAAGACACTTCAGAGTTGACTCATCCTTCCAAAAAGCCTTCGGTCTTAGTGCCATAATTCTTGACAGTTCAATTGGAAAGTAGTGGCATGGGACTAGTGGTGTGCCTGTGCACCAGGTAGCTTGCTTGGGTGGTAGCTAAGGAAGGAAAAGAAAGATTGAAAAATAGGTTAGAATCAACCAGATTTTCTTTTTCCTTCTGCTTTTTTTTACTGAAATGAATAAAAACTGATTTTGTGCCAGCAGAAATGTCTAAATATTAAAAAAAAAAGAGGTTTGTTGCATTTATTTTTAAAATGTCTTCTATTAAAATCAAAGTGAGTATCCATTGAGAAAATGTTTCAAAATGAAAAGCTGAAAAGTAGTTCTGAGAGTGTCAGTGAGTGCTTAAACAATCTGAAGGGAGCTGTCTTAATATTTTCAACTTAATCTTGTATAGAGTACCACTGATCATTTAGATTGTTACTAAACTTAACCCAAAAGTAAGTCTAACTACATGAAAACTCCTAGAATATATGCTTGGTCTTGTAATAGTGAAAGCTACTTTTATTAAATTTTAGTGTTTTTAAAAAAATTTTGTTTTACAAAAGAATCAAAAATCCATGTACATGATAGAAAAGAAAAAGCTGACTTTCTTGGGAAAAAGCATTTTAGTCCCTTACTGTAAGGACTTTTAGTCCCTTTAGTCCATTACTATACTTGTATAAGATAGCAATTTTTGCAATATGCGCCTGTTTTTAGTGGTTAGCACTAAAACCTTCTTCAATATTGGCTAACTTGTTTTTAGTTGATAAGTCATGGCTGTTGTGCTCCACTTCCACTGTGTCTAGATCACCAAGGGACTACTAATTTTAAATTTTACTGGATGCCTAAAGAAATTAAATTTACTTTACATAATCCATAGAAGTAAAAGAGGAGAACTGAGATGGACACACCCACCTGTAACACATGGGT